CTTGATCTGCACACTTTGCTTTTAAGACTAGGTGTCCTTTCAAAGTTGTAAGTAAAGTGGGCAGATCTGCAGAATGTGCTCAGATATTTGTGGTCCTGTTTGTCAGACACACTGTGGGGACTGTACAATCTTTATTTTGTGCATGTGGTAGTTGAGCCTGCTGTGTTCTTTTCATAGACGGAAAATTGTTGTATGTTGCTTTCTGTTGAGTCTGCTGATGTGGTCTTGTGGACATTAACTTTTAGTTTGTTCATTCTACAATTCCTTGTATTATCCACTTTTCAGATAAGAATCGCCATGTACAAATCCCAGAAATTACACTCAGGAATAAGATTATACTGGGGCCTCTGATGGTACAATGCAAGCTGTCGTCCAGATAGGACAGGGTTTGTTTAAATAAATAATACTTGCCTTGATTGCTGAAACATGTAATTCCCATCCCGCCAAATTGTTAAAACCTGTAAACTAAATCAAAACCCCCGGCTAACCCAGTTTTACACTGGGTTCATGTCATATTCCTATATTACATTTGTCGTCTGGATACAGGACACAATATTTTGTTATTTTAAAGCCCCGCCCTGGCTGTAGTTGGAGGCCCTAATATAACCTAAGGATTAAACAGGGTTTCAGGGATTTCTCCCAGGGTGATACTCATCTGCTTGGTGGCACTTTGTGTCACTGGGTGTTTATCACTTGGTGGATGTCCTGGTGGGGTTAAATCTCATTCATTCATTCATTCATTCATTCATTCATTCATTCATTCATTCATTCATTCATTCATATTCCTCTTAACATCAAGACTTGCAAAGAGGCTCTCCATTTTTTTTTCTTTTTGAACAATACAAACTACAGCAAGGTTCATGGCCATGATCACTCACATTTATATACAGCAGAGTGTTTTGAAGTCCTGTAGCAGAGTAATGTGCCCTTGCTAAACTACATACCACCAACTTTAGGCTGCCAGTCACTTCAGTTATTTACATGGCTCTAATATTGTTACCTGCAACAGCTCTTTCAGGTTCTAGTCACATGTAGCCTTCTCAGTCTCACACAGACAGATAGTTCAACATCTTCACAGGATGACCAAACACAGCATTTTCAGCTGCAGACACTTCAAAAGCTACCATTCATACACTTGAGCAAAAACACTTGTCTCGCAGCAGATGTCAACTCAGCCATTCGCACGAAATTGGATAGTTAGGATTTAGTGCTCAGTTGGCTGGCCTATCAAAGAGTCACTTTTTATTCTTCAAACACCATACGACCTGGCTTTCTCATCATCGCAAACAAGACTGAAACTTTTGGATTATTCCAAGTTTAAATAATCTGCATCCCTTTTCAGTTCTCAAACGTTCCACACGTGATTCATGCTTTTTCTCATCTGCCACACTTTCAGCCATCTTGCACACATGTCTCAAATTACTTATTATTTGATCCTGTTCCTGCATACATTACACTACGTAATTGATACCGTTCAGTCAAACTCAGGTACATAATTCATGCTTACTAGTTAACCTTATTTACAAATCAGAACATTAATTAACAATGAGAAAATCACTCATTACAGTACCTTTTTTTCAAAATAAAATAATTTACATATTAAAAAGTCTATCCCTTTTTTCAGCAGAATTTAATGTACAGTTATTTCACTTTATAATCAAATGAAATGGATTACGTATCAACAAGTACTATCATAAATGTGAATGCAAAGATGTGTTTGATGGCAAAATTCATGTCAAACAAAATATGGTTTGATACAAAGATTAAACCATGAAAGAGTAGAACCTTGCCATGTAATAGATCACAAAGACAGCTATAGGTGGGTACAATGTATCTAACCTCAATTGTGGAGATGGTTTAAAAAAAAATAATTTTTAAATCATTAAAATAAATTCAGCATAAGTGATGAGTTTACAATTCCAATTTACAATTAGAAGAAATAAACAGGAGCAGATAAAAATCTAAATGTCAAGTATTTTTCAACTTCTCAACTTCTAAATAAGAATACTTGGCATTAGGTCTAAGAACAAGATCACAAACACTGAGGTATTGGAAAGAGCAGGCACTACAACCAGTTTCTCAGTGCTCAGTCTACCAAGGCTCAGGTAGCTGGTGACACCTAGAGAATGAAGGATGGTAGATTCCTTAAGGACATGCCCTCTAGGGGATTGTAGATTGGTACAGGAGGTCAAGGCCAGTCTCTAGTGCGATAAAAAGATGCATGCATGTATGCATGTGGGCACAAGCATGTGTGCGTACATGTGTGTGTGCATGTATGCGTGTATGTATGTACATATGTATGTACGTATGTATGTATGTAGGTGTGTATGTATCATTGTGTATGACTGTGTGTGTGTATGTGTATGCATGTGTGAGCATAAGTGAGTGAGTGGGTAGGCGTATGTATGTGGATGTGTGTGTGCGCTCGAGTGTGCATGCATTTTACCATCCATATTTTGTTTTCTTGATATTCATAATATGCTTATTATTATAGGAACACAACATGCTTTATTGATAAAATACAACTACTGTTTGAAAAATGGGTGTTTGGAAGGGTCAAATGTAAGACGGGCTGCGTGCCCAATTTATGACCCTTTGAAAATAAATAAATAAAGTCCAGTATAACACTATTATCTGGAAAGATGAAAAGGTGCCAACAAAGCACATGTGCCCATCTCAGTTTCTAACACTGACTACTCACAGTGATGATTTGATCAGATAAGATCAAATCAACAAGCACCATTAAATATTGTTCAGTTGAGTCAAAGTATGTCAAGTAAAAGTATAGGGCCCTTCTTACACAAGCGGAGCATCACACTGATGATGCTGGACTTCTCTGTAGACCCACCTGCCCTTGATGGATGTGGTCAGAATTGCACCGACCACCTTTACTTCCTAAGACAATGCCTGGTACTCATTTTAGATTCAGTTGACCTAGGAGCCTAGGTCAATGCTGGAAAAAAAAAAAATCTGATATGATTCAAACCCGAGATCTTCGGCCTAGTGGGCAAGTTCTGGACACAACCATTGCTCTTCTATACTGAAGTAAAATAAGAGACCCTTTTCAATGCCATAAGTGAATTTAGAACATACCTAGCGCTAGGGCAATGTTTTTAAAAATAAATTGGCCATGAATGCCTAATGGGGTCAGTATCATACTGACCACCAGTATATCCAAGGATATTGTAGGATACCCTATTTCAAGTCATATTAAACTGGAAAACCAGGTCACTATTAACTCTTTGAGTCCCAAGGAACGCATAATATGTTCATAGGTTACTGCCTAAAAACCGAATGAACGCATGATGCGCCAATTTTACGTCTCTTTTGAATACCCCTTGGGCCTGTGATGCTAAACCCTCTGGGACTCAGAAGAGTTAAAACTCCCCTACCTTAGGGGATTTAAACACACAATCTCCAGCACAGCAGGAACAGGTTAGAACCATTGTCTTTTTGTAGCTCCCTTTATTGAAGTAAGAACAGATTTTTTTTAAAGTCAATTACAAATAATTAGACTCAATGCTAGCACATTCTTTAGTTTAAAATAACGTGTTAAATAGCGTCGGGCATATTTTAATCAGAACTCTTCCACTGAAACAGAATTTAACAGACCTTCTTCTTCTTTCGTATGCTTAAAATAGATTATCAATTAACCGAAATGTTGTCTCCAGTATGAACTTCACTGTCTTTTGTCATTCACTCAGTGACCCGTAAAGTTTGACTTGCACCGATGTTTCTCTTGGCAAGAGGTTTTGTCTTGATATGTTGTATTTGGGACAGTCTTTGGGGACATGATCTGTCATCTGAGGTGCCAGTCCAAATGCGTACATGGCGGATTGCCTGTCTTTTTTTTTTTACATGCGGCTGCAAAGTCAATTGTGTCCTGTTCTAAGGCATATAATAAAGACTTTCTCTGGTCTGTCCATAATATAGTAATCATCTTTAACTGGTTTTGGTGGCTTTCTAATTGATTTGATTTTTCTCTTCTTCTGTTGGTAAGAGGCTGGTAAATCAGGTTGTTCTTCATTTGCAGCTCCTTAACTCTTTGAGTCCCAAGGAACGTATAATACGTTCATAGGTTCCTACCTAGAAGCCCAATGAACGCATGAAGCGCCGATTTTTTTACTTTCTTTACTACCCCCTGGGCCTGTGATGATAAACCCCCTGGGACTCAAAGAGTTAACTAGCTTATCACCTTTTTCCTTTTCAGGAGCCCTACAGATGGATGGTATCCATTGCATAGTTACCTTACACTGGTTATCTAGTGTGGAGTGTAGTGTCCATATTCCAGGTAATTTTCCAGATTAGAACATTTAACAGATCTAAAACTTATATGCAACACTTTTTATAATGAAATAATTATTTAATGTTGTAATTAAAGCATAATTACAGCATCTAAAATGTTTAATAATAATAATATGAGCAGCATAACATAATTATTATATTCTGTAAAAACAGACTGCAGATCACTCCAAGAGTGCGTGTGTGTGTGTATATTTATATATCTAATATAAAAAGAGAAAAACTACATATACCAGTTATAACTCAGAAGGGTTGAACAGGATATCACTGATTAAATTACAACTACAGATCCCATATTCAATACCATTTAAAACACTAGCTGTCAGAAATGCTCCTAGGACGTTTCCTAAAAATGTCTGAGTAAAAATGACATGAAAACAGAAATAAAACAATGAGTAACAGAAAAATGGATTCTAACAAAGAAACAAAACATGAAAAGAAGATATGCATCTAAATTGTAAACTGCTCCAAGAATATTTCAGGTAAAAAATGAAATTAAAATTTTTTGAAATAAAAGACCAAGACTATAACTTAAAAAAAAAAAATATTTTGCTATAAAATGAATCTAAACTATGTTGAATGTCAGAAACATGATAATGTACAAGACTGACTTAAAAAATTTGAACAGTTAAGTTAACTTAAATAACATAATATATGAACTAAAACAAAGAACATGAGATGATACAATGTGCAAAGAATCAAGTCAATGAGTCTGAAGCATGATGATCTAGTACATCTATAAGAACATTATCCTTCCCAGCCTGAACTTCTGTGGAGGAACAAGAAAATAAACTGTCACAATCCAGAAGTTCTGAGTCTTCATTTGCAGTTTCACTGGAATTGTGTGCAACATCACTGATGCTTGCAACATTTGTACTGCTTCTTTGTTTCCTTGATATCTGTTGTTTGCGAAGTTGACACAACTGTGGATTCTTGAAAAGTGTGTAGATGATGAACCAGCGTATTCGTGCTCGATTTGACTTATGATCTTCTGTAAATAGATTTGCAGAAAATGTAATCTGGAATTAAACTATATAGTGAATTAATGAATGAGTAAATCAAGAATTGACATCAATGCACTTGGGACATTCCCGAAACATGCTCCATCCCCTTCTTCAGTAACAGCTGTTAGGTTAATAGACAGCTGCAACCTGATTTTAAGTCTGCCTCTTTTTCCCCTTCAGTGTTGAATATTTTCCAGAGGCTCCACTAATGTTGTTCATGGGTTTCAATCTGTTTTGTTGCATGAATTTCTTGGAAACATAATGTGACGGTTTCCCATTGCCTTCCACATCCACCCTGGGGTATTTAAACCACTCCCTTAGACGGCAATTTCTGACTGTCAGGACAAGCAAGTTCCCTTTTCTGCTCAGGTGCAAATTGTCCACTTATTTCGGTGGATACTCGGCCCATATATCCGCACTGAGTGTGTTTACCTTTCTCTACCATGAAGAGGTGCAGTTGGGGATTTTCGCCTTCATCATAATTGAGATTGAGGTGGTATTTCTCAAACTTTCTAGGTACTTTTAGAAAACAAGTGCTGACTGGTAAATACAAAACTATAAGGCTTGAACCAGATACTTAATACACTTCAATGCATAAAACATGCTTCTGTGTTGTTGGTTTTGTGTGTTGTGGTAACAGTCAAGGACCCTGTTCCTACTTGTGACACCATGGTTTAGTCATCTGGTCAGAATGGAACAGAACCAGCCAGCATCTATAGAGTTCTACATAAGGACAGCAGGCTGCAAGGTAAGAGGCCAACCAAGAGAGAGATGGGTGGAGGGAGTAAAAGAGTAATTCAGAAATACATTATGACATTAGCACAAGCTAACAACTAGCAAAAGACAGAAAACTCAAATAACTTCTCTCTTCAGCTCACTGCTGCATAAGCAGTAATACAAAAGAAGAAGAAGAAAACACACTGAGCATATGTTACTAGACTTACATGTTTGTAGACCAAATGGCACTCGGTGCAGGATGTGGCCAAGTTGGCTGAGCTTACTTCTAAGGAAATTACCTGGTACTCATTTTAGACTGCATCTACCAGGACACCAAGGGCAAGTTTTGAAGAGGAACAAAATCATGCTCCTGTATATCTGAACCCAAAAAATAGCTTCTTTTTTTTTTAACAATTCATTCATTTATTTAATTTATTACATTTTTAAAAACTTTTTTAAAAATAAATATACAAAGTACTTTCCGACTGTATAATTTAAGTGTTCCTGTGTAGGTTTCAATACCCTCATTGTGCAGAAAACAAGAACAGACCCACTGCCTTCCAACAAGCATGTCGTAAGAGTTGACTAATTGGGGGTTTCCTTCGAAGTCGGAGTGCATCTGCCTGAGAGGCAAGAACCCAACGTCTGCATACAAATAAGTCAAATCTGTAAAATGGATGTGCACAAAACACTCAGGTTCTAGAACTAGTCTAAAGTGCAGAAGTGGATAAACCACCAGAACTTTCCGCCAAAGTTGACAGCCGGTGATCGCAAAGAAGAAAAAGAAGAAGGAAACTCAGGCCGTGTCACAAATCCAAAGTCCAGATGGATCAGCAACCAGAGCGCGAAGCTAGTGAACACAGAAAAAGAAGAAGAAGAAGAAGATATAATATGAGGGTAACATTCAACTTTACCATTAGCTTCAACAAAAATCCAGGGGTTGCCAGGCTGATCAGGTGAGGCAGGAATGTCATTAGCTAGGATGTTTCTGTCACGTGTAGAATGCCAGTTTAGAACAAATAAATATCAAAGAAAACGGGCTAAATAAAATAAAAACAATATAGTATCTTTTGACATCATCATCATCATCCTTTTGTGCCTTTTATAGGTTACACTGGGTTTGCTGTCTATTCTTCCATTCTGTTCTATGTTGTGCATTTGTTTCAATATCATGGATGGAATCCAGTTCACTACCTTTGGCTTTTCCAATCATATTTTAAGTTTTAAGCCAAGCAGTGTGCAATTCCGGCTACTGAACGCTTCTACTGGTTGGCTCTTATCAGAAACTATCATAGGTGCACTCTAAGCACCATCCACCACTTGGTGGGTCAGTTTGCAGGAACAGCTTCCTGTGTAAGTAAGTTTCTTTGTGGCACACATCTTTTTACAGTGTCATCATCGTCATCATTTCTCTTTATGCCTAGTGGCACATGAGGCTTCAGAGAGGAATTTCCTGTCCTGTACAATGTTCAGTGCAGTTTTTCGTGTCAGAGATGCCACATTCAGGTCACTCTCCATAATTTGTCTCCATTTTTTGGGCATCCCTTCTTTCTCTTTCCCTCCGGTGTCCATGTAAGAGCTGTTTTGGCAGGTATATCAGGATTCATTCTCATAACGTGGCCAAGCCATTTCCATCCGCTCTTGGATATCATTTTTTACAGTGTAGTTGGCCCCATGTCCAACCCTCCTCCTTTGTCATCCAGACTTAGGACTGGCAATGGCCGATGATAAGTGCAGGCCATATTAAAATCTGTGGATCTGTCTCATGTGAAGCCTCTAAGTGAGTGTTCTTCAACCCATGGTCTGCAACCCATTGATGGGACCTGGAAGAGACCCTATGAGCCACGTAAATTTATGCCTAATCATGTAACAAGGTAGGGTAAGTGGTTTTTCTCATCCTGTCTGTAGGATTTAAGACTCCAAAGACTTCCTACTTGTGTGAAAAGACTAAAATCAAATGGAGAAACTGAATGGATGTTGTAGACTTTTGTAATTCACAAACAACGCCTTTGCCAGAATATCAAATTTGTTTCACTTCTAAGCAGTGCTAGTTTTCACATTAGCGGAAAGTTCTAATTTTGTGACATCAGATTTAACAAACAAACTGTTAAACACATTTGTTTTTGTTTCTGAGTTTATTTAGCTGTGAAGGGGGCCGTGAAAAAATTTCCACTGTTTTACTGGGCCATGAAATAATGTCCACTGTTTTGCTTTTCTGTAAAACAATTTCCACTGTTTTTCTTGGCTGTGAAACAATTTCCACTGTTTTTCTTGGCTGTGAAACAATTTCCACTGTTTTTCTTGGCTGTGAAACAATTTCCACTGTTTTAGTTGGCCATGAAATAATTTCCACTGTTTTTCTTAGCTGTGAAACAATTTCCACTGTTCTGCTGAGCTGCTGGTGTGAAAAGGTTAAGGAACACTGATCTAAGTGACACTAGTTCAGAAAATGATGATGGCAGAGAAGTGAATTTATTGCTCAAATTAATTAAAAATCGTTAACCTATTATGGAAACAGATACTACTGCTCTAGACTGATCTGTTTTTTTGCAACATCATTTCTAAGTGACACTAGTTCAGAAAATCTGGCAGAAGTGTCAATACATGGAAACAGATACTATTGCTCTAATCTCTTCCTTGCAAATCACACTTAGAGAATCTCAGGTCAATACATATGAACACTTTAATATTCACAAGACTCTACACATACTATATAGATATTCTGTAATGGTTTTTTTTCCCTAGAAGACACATGAGCTCCTGAATTTCCAATATGCCTGTCTTATCCTGACCCACTTCAACCAGTGCCAAACATAGACACTATCTAAAGACCATATACGTGAAATCAGCACCTGTGAGATGCGATGCCTGAGAAAATCCACCATCCGAGATCGAGTAAAAAATTATAA